CAGGGATGTTTCCTTCCTCTGAGTAGAGGAGGTACCTCTCAGATGAGGGGCTTATGACCTGCTTCAAAAGAGACGGGCAAGAGAAGATCAGAGAGTGACCTTCCTAGGTTTAGGGACCTGCCTCTACTGCTTTATCAAATGCCAAGGTGCCATATTTGACGGCTACATGTCTTGAACCCCATAGCTCAGAAAGATCAAAGCGTGCATGCAGGTTTACACAGTGGGCCAATGATGAACCCGAGAGTCCGAACCAGGTATGAGATTAAAGCCTATCCTCAGCCACCATTCCCCTGAGATTTGCCTTTTGCAACTGAAAGGTAATTAAGAGGGGGCCAGCAGGTGGTATGGTGGTTAAGGCACTGGATCCTACATGGTCAACTACGGTTCGAGTCCCGGACACAGCGGCTTGAAATGCACGTTGGCATGTGTTTGTGTGCATGCCCAAAATCCCAAGAGGAGGATGGAGGAGAGGGGACTTTGGTGTAGCTATTCCTTCTATGGAATGATTTCTCACTTTCCCTCTCTCCGTATCTCTCTGGTGGAGAGAGACCCCTATGGCAAAAACCTAAGAAAAGAAAGAAAAGTAGTTAAGGGAGACAGGACCCTGAGCAAACACCAGGCAAAAAAAAAAGGTGACCCTCCTGTCAGTCTGGTCTCTGAAACTTTGCTGCTCTTTACTGGACTCAGTCGAGGTAAAAAATGCTGATTCTGGGGCCAGCAGGTGGCATAACAGTTACATCGCTGGACTCCCACCTAGTCGAATGTGGTTTGAGTCTTGAACCTGGTGACTTACAATTCATGCCGGATGTGTGTGTGTGTATGCCCAAAATCCCAAGAAGAGAATGAAGGAGAAGGGGTTGCTGCATGGCCATCCCCCACGGGAGATGATTTCTCACTTTCTGTTTCTCTGTCTCTTCAGTGAACACAAGCGCCCTATAGCAAAAATACTTTTTTAAAAAACTGCTGATTTCTGCCCATGAGGGTTTAGTCATACAAATGGAGTCTCCGGCCAGACCCCAGTAACAAGGGTTATGGCTGGCAGACTTTCAAGGAAAGTAACCAGTTTACTGGGAAGCTGCGGGGCAGGTGTCCAACTGACAGCCTGAATAGACCAGTCTCCTAAGGGATAGCTTGGCCACTGGCTGGCTGACCTTCCGTCGACCGCTCAAAAAAATTGTGACCAACTGGCATGCGCGTGTGCGGGCTGGGCCCACAGACCTGCTGCCCACCAACAAGGGGGCTGTGGGTTCCTAGTCTTTGGAACTCTCTCACCTACCCGGATACTCAAAATCTAGTCATCCACCTGGGAGAGAGAGGCTGGGATTTTTATAACTGGCACCTGGCCCCTGCCCCTCCCTTCATGCCCATAAGCCAGCTCTGCCCTGGGCCAGATTCACTCCCACAATGTCTCCACAGAGCAGGGAAGGGCCTGGTGCACTGTATGAGGAAGAACGATAGCCCTGAACCCAGTACCCTCCTTCCACGGGGCATTCTGTCCTCAGTCATGCTGTTTGATGCCAGCCCCTGGGTAGGGCCTCAGCCCACAGGAAGGACTCCGAGGGGACTGCCAGCCTGGCCAGCCCCATCTCGCAAAACCCACGGGGCCATGGCCAGTGCTTCCCTCCGTTGCTCAGAGGCTCAGGCTGTGGACTTCATACTCTGGAAACAGCCTTATCTTTAATGGATAAAGTCCTCCCTGGAAGACTTTGAGCTGTGGCTGAGAAGGCTGAGATCAAAGTTTCTGGAGAGGCAGAGTGAGGCCAGAGGAGGAGCCCCACTGAGGTGTGAGCAGGCTCGGGAGCGAGCAGGTAGAAGTGGGGGCTGCAACTAGAACTAGACAGTTTGGGGCACAGGAGGGATGGCCCGTAGCATGCCTGAGGTTGGAGGCACCTGTCTGAGCTGACTCAGTGACTTTCCATCCCTCTTCCCCACCCATTCCCTGGTTTCCTTCAGAGCTGGGGCTCCAGGCCAGTGACTTCTGTCCTTCCAGTCACAGCTTCAGCCCTACCACCTGACTGGCCTGGCCCCTCAAGGATTGGTTCTGTTGCTTACGAGGTGACCTGGCAAAGTTTAGGCAGGCCAAGATAGACGCACTCTGTGCTTCTTCCCTTCATCAGACTCCTCCAAGGAGCATCAGGTGTTGTTGAGTTTAACACCTGCCCCAGTCCCTGGACCAATACTAACCAGCAGAACTACTTCCTCTGAGCTTACTTGTCCTCACCAGAAATGTAGAGAAAATGCAACCACAAAGATGGAGCCCTGTGGGAAGGGCAATGCAGTAATGCATGCAGCACAGAACCGAGACTAGAGCAGGAGTCTGTGTCTGCTAAGAGGAGCTGAGGCTCAGACATGCCCCCTACGTCTCCTCGGGAGGAGGGTGCCTTGCACCCTTACTTCCTCTTCTCCTTCAAAGTGATCTCTGCCAAGTCTCTTCCTACCCTCCCCTTCCCTAGGACAAACCTGTCTGTTTCATCAGGTGTCAGTTTTGTTTTAATACCTCCTTGTTGTCTCTGAGAGGTTTTGCCCCCAAAAGGGACTCCTCCTCAGTCTATGCACTTCCGTTTCCTTAGTCAAATTCTTCAAGCGGCTTGTATAGCTATTTCTCCTAAGATAAGCAAAGCTAACAAGTACGTGAAAAGATTCTCGGCATCATTAGTCATGAGGGAAGTGCAGTCAAACCACACCGAGATACCATTTCACACCTACAAGGATGACTACTATTGAAAAGACAGTAGTAGCGAAGACATAGAGAAGCTGGGATCAGGGATCAGCAGGTGGCATAGTGGTTAAGGTGCTGGACTCCCATGCGGTCAACCATGGTTCTAGTCCCAGACCCAACAACTTGAAACTCACCTGGGTGAGTGTGCATGCATGCCCAAAATCCCGAGAGGAGATGAGAGGAGATGGGAGGAGATGGGAATACGGTGTGGCCATCCCCCTGGGCGGGGGGTTGATTTCTTGTTTTCTGTTTCTCTGTCTTTCTCTGTCTCTTCAGTGAGCACATGTGCCCTGTAGCAAAAATCTCTCAAAAAACTTTTTTTGAGAAAATTTACACGAATGTCCAAAATACCTATAACAACCCAAATCTCCATCAGTTGATAAATGGACAAACTAAACATGTTATCTACATACAATAAAAATATTATTCAGCTCTAAAAATGAATGAAGTACTGAAACATGCTAGAATATAGACTAGATGAACCTTGGAGACATTATGCTAATTTAAAAAAACCAGTCACAAAGAAGACATATTGCACGATTTTGTTTATATGAAATGTCCAGAATAGGCAAATCTATAGAACGATAAAGTAGGTCAGGGGTTGCCAGGGACAGAGGGAGGGAGGAATGGGGACTGACTGACAGGTATGAGCCTCCTTATTGAGGTGATGAAAGTGCACTGGAATTGGGCAGTGCTGGTGGTTGTACAACTTTGTGAATATACTAAAAACGACTGGACTTTGTGCTTTAGAAGGATAGATTTGGGCTGGGCATGTGGCCTCATGATTAAGGGAGCTGGATCCCACATAGCCAACCATGGTTCAAATCCTGACCCCAGTGGCTTAAAAAACACACAAGGTGCAGATGCATGCGTGCCCCCAAATCCCGACAGGATGGAGAAATGGAGAAGAAGGGATTACAGTATGACCATGCCTCATTTGGGGAGGCTGGGGGGGGTGGGGTCGCATTCTCCTGCTGTTTGTCTCTCTTTTTTTTTTTAATTCTTGGGCTAACCAGTAGCACAGCATTAATCAAAGTTCTGCAATGCTGGGCCATGGTGAGAAGATCCTGGGTTCACATCCTAAGACCTCTCTGTACATGCTGGCCATGTATGTGTGCTTGTGATTCGGGGCGGCTGTGATGGGGGTGAACTGCTGCATGAAGACCTTTTTGAGGCACTCTCTTTCACCTCCTCGCTCTCTCTCAGAAAAAAATAAATAAACTTTAAAACAATAACAAAATCCTCAGATGAGAGAGTCCCCCAGTGGGTGGGAGGTGTCCTCACGTCAAATCTCAAGCTCAGAAGGAGCGTGTTGAATGAGGGGAAGCTCCTGCCTGCAGTGAGAGGCCTATGAAACAATGCGGGGCTTCCGGCAGGAAATGGGCCCTAAAAGGGGAGGAAAGCCAGGAGGCTGGGCTGTCAGGAGTGCAGGTGGTTTCCATCTACTTGGAGGGGTGGAGTCTCCAAAGCTGGGCCTCTAGGCTTCTGGTGGATAAAGCTCAGGAGACCCCAAAGATGCCTCTGAAGGTTCTCAGCTTTCCTGTCTGCAGCGAGTGGGATGCTGACATGGTTACCATAGTTACCATGGAAGTGGGGAGGCAAGGGTCCAAGACAGTGCCGCCTCCTGGGCCATCACCCCCAGGCCTCTGTTTGTCCAGGAGAGTTAAACAGGATGATTCTGCATGCCTGGTCCACGGTGACCTGCAACATGGCTTGATGTATGATTTGAGGACTGGATCAGTTGGCTCTGTGATTGTTTGAGGTGAGGGTCTCTGTCGGGGGTTGGTATCTGTTCCAAATTGCAACAGGAAACACCTTTATTTCCTGATCTGCACCTGGCTTCAGACTCCTGATCAGAGTCTGAGCCAGTCATATCTAGGCCCAGGGAAGCCTCCAAGAACTGCAGATGTCTTGCACGGCAGGCCCAACGTGGCAGACAGCACGACTTCTCCCTGCCACCGGCCACAGCACACAGGCTTCTGAGCAGGAGGCCAGCAGCTTCTCCTGGGAAGAGAGGTTTATGCTGACGATGGAGTGAGACGTGAAACAGGTGGTCCCCAGTGGGGATCTGGCCAGCGGGGCACGTGGAACATACACCGCCCCCCCAAGAAAAAGCCCTCCCATCCCTGCCATTAGGAACCCGGGGGCCTGGTGTGATCCTCGGATTCTCACCAACCACTAAGGCCCCTCCCCAGGAACTGCCTTGGTTCTGAAGTCTAGGGCTCCCTGGGTCAGGGCCATCCTGGGATTCCTTCTCACCCCTTGGCTGTCTGTCTCACAGGGTCGGCAGACGAGGGTCCCCAGATGCCAGACAAGGACCCCAAAGCCGTGATGGGCACAGAAGCCACGCCTGGAGGCAAAGCCAGCCCAGACCTTCAGGACTCGCGACCTAGTGGGTTCCACAACATCAAGGTACCTCCCGGGGTCTGGCAGGGATGGAGCTTGGAGCCTGCAGAACAGGAACTGCCATGCAGTGGGTCATGCCAAGCAAGTGTTGGTCTTTCTCTGGGCCTCAGTTTCCTTGCCTGACCTATGGAAACACTTTGGTTTCAGCCATGTCAAATGTGTCCAGTCTCGTCTTGTCTCTCCCTCCAGAGAGGAAATGGGCTGCTCTGAGCAGTGGGGGATGAGTCCTCTTGCTTCCCATTCCCTAGAGAAACAGAGACATGCCCCAGGGACACTGAGCCATCTGAATATCAAGGGTCCTGGCACCACCCAGGGCAGCCCTGAATGTCCAACCACTTTGGTTTCAGTCATGTCAAATGTGTCCAGTCTCGTCTTGTCTCTCCCTCCAGAGAGGAAATGGGCTGCTCTGAGCAGTGGGGGATGAGTCCTCTTGCTTCCCATTCCCTAGAGAAACAGAGACATGCCCCAGGGACACTGAGCCATCTGAATATCAAGGGTCCTGGCACCACCCAGGGCAGCCCTGAATGTCCAACCTCCAGCCTCCTGGGTGTCAAGTCTGTGGCAGGTGTCATTCACATGTGACCTTGTTTACTTCGCACAACAAGCCTGGAGGGTAGGGTTGTTGTCCTTCCATGCAGATGAGGAAACCGAAACTCAGAACAGAGTCAATATCTGAAGCTCTAGTGTAAATACTCTATTTTTCAAATTCTCCGAAGCAAGTTTTTCTTCTCTTAGGAACTCTGACAGTTTTTCGGGAGGGCTACAGGCAGGCTGGATGTGTGGGGCAGGGTGGGGTTGGCAGTTTGCAAATGCAGTGTGTGCAGCTGGCTTCACGGGGAGGTTAGAAAGGGCTCCATCGAGGAGGAGTGGAGAAGGATCGGATGAATCTGGGATAGCTTCCTGGAAAAAAGGGCAGGGTGGTAAAACAGAGAGGAAGGTCTAGCCCAGCCCAGAGGGAGCTCTGAGGGTCAGAGGGGGCTCCCGCCATTGCCAGCCCCATGGAGCCTCTGTTTCCAGTTTCATGGGTCTCCAGTGCCCCCCCACAACCCCCAGAGTGTACCCAGAACAGCTTTTCTAGTTCTTGGGCCTGTGTGAAAAGCCATGAGCTACTCTAATAACTAACTTATCGTGCTCTCTCTTTCTCTGCCTCCCATGGTTTCTGTCTCTCTTCTCTTGTTCTTCCTGTCCCCCTCCCTTTGTCTTCCCTGTGTGTCGGTCACCTCTGACTGTCCCCCATCTCTGTCCTTGCTCCTCCCACGCTGCACTCCTGCTCCTCCTCCTCTCCATCCCCAACCCCCCACCTCTGATGGTCTCTGCTCTGTGTCCCTGCCCCCCAGTCCTTCGTCCTGTGCCACAGCCTGCTGCAGCTGGCCCAGCTCATGATCTCCGGTTACCTCAAGAGCTCCATCTCCACGGTGGAGAAGCGCTTCGGCCTCACCAGCCAGACGTCGGGGCTGCTGGCCGCCTTCAACGAGGTAGTCATCTGGCCCAGCCACGGGGTGAACATGGATGGCCTCCCAGCCCTTTTTCACTGTCCCACCATAGAGCCAGCCTCTCCTAGTGCCCTTAGACCCCCACCCCCTCCAGTCCCCTCCGCCAGGCCTTCTTCACTTGGCCCTCCTAAAGCATCCCAGATCAGAAACTGACCCAGCAGAAGCTTAGGGTCAAGGCTCAGAGCTGGCTGCCTCCTGCCGCATATGTCAGAGTGTCTCTAAGACCTGGCCATCCTGCCCTGGGAGCACCCTGAGGAGGGTGCAGATGTTTGCAGCCAGCCAAGGTCCTCGTAGCCAGCTTATCCCTTTGGTTCTTAACCTTTCCACGCACCTAGCTACTGCCTGCCCCAGGAAGGAACCAGAGAAAGGCACTTTAACGGGAACCAAAGCAACTAACTTGCATGCAGAGGAGAGGTTTGGAACCTTGAGACCTTGGGGTATGGGGTAGGAGGGAATGATACCACAGCAGCGTGGAGTGTCATCCCCAGGATTGCTCAGGGACCCACGGGCCTCTGCCTTGGGCCCACGGCCAAGCAGGAAGCAATGGATGAGCTGCTTTGGGTGGATTTGGGGATCAGAGTCCAGCTGTGCCCTGGCCTCTCCCCCACCAGATGTTTCCAGCCTCGGAGAGGAAGCGGCCCCTCTCTCCCCCACCCCAGCAGATTTCTGTGAAATTCTGTCTCCTTGAGTAACTTGATGTATTACTCCTGACTCAAGGTCTGCTGGCTCCACCACTTTCCCAGTTGTTCCTCAGCACCCCATGTCTAGCTAACAGGGCTGGGACGGGGAAGCCCTTGCCTCACTTTGGAACCTTGTCTCTGGGCCTCAGTGTCCCATCTATGCAGCAGAGAGCAGCTGTCCTTCCAGGGTCAGATCTCCACCACCCCACTGCTGATGCTGCCCCGCCCACCAGCCAGCCTTCGCTGGAATACAGGCACCCCAGCTATGACTGCCAAGCCTGCCCTGCCCTCCAAGCACTCATGGTCCTCCAGCAGTCACACCCTAGCATATTATTATTATTATTGAGAGAGATTTTTGCTATAAGGTGTGTGTGCTCACTGGAGTGACAGAGACAGAAAGCGAGAATTTACCCCCTAGGGTATGGCCACACTGCAATCCCTTCTCCATTCTCCTTTTGGGATTTTGGGCATGCACACACACGAGTGCCGTGTGAGTTTCAAGCTGCTGGGTCTGGGACTTGAACTGTGGTTGGCCATGTGGGAGTCCAGCTATGTAACCATTATGCCATCTGCTGGTCCCAGCCTAGCATATTTTTAAAAATTTAATTTTATTTATTATTTAATTGCCAGAGGTCATGTGCACACACCAGAGAGGGGCAGGGGGAGATAGAAGGGAAAAGCACCTGCCCAATTGGGCATGGGCATGCTGACCCCTCTTTCTGGAATTTTGGGCACATAGGCATGCCTGCCTAGAATGTTTCTCAAGACAATGGGGTTGAGGTTTTTTGTTTTTTGGTTTTTGGTTTTTGGTTTTTTTTGAGAGGTTTTTGCTATAGGGCATGTGCACTTGCCAGAAAGACAGAGAGAGACAGAGAGATAGAAAGCAAGAAATCAACCCCCAGGGGAGATGACCATGCCACAATCCCTTCTCCTCCATTTTCCTCTCAGGATCTTGGGCACACATGCACACACACATGGCATGAGTTTAAGCCACTGGGTCCAGGACTTGAACCGCAGTTGACTACATGGGAGTCCAGCGACATAGCCATTACGCTAACTGCTGGTCCTAAGATTTGAACCATAGTCAGCTACGTGGGATCCAGGTTCCCTAAGCACTCAGCTATGGGCTGGCCCTCTAGGGTTTTGATTCTAAGACTGGAAATTCCAAGTCTTAATCTTTTGGCTTCAGCCTCTTTTTTGTTTGTTTCTCTTCTTCACAATATCCCTGAAACTCAAAATCCCTTTCCTTGACTGTCTACCCTCTGCCATGTTCTAACATGGGGTTTACCCATGTTTCAAGACGAAGTTGAATATCCAGTTTTGTCCCCTTTGCCCTCATTTCTCTCCCACAATGGGGCAGTGGAGCCTTCCTAAGAGAACCCAGAACGTGTATTTACAGGAGGGACGCAGATGGTTCTTATTTTGTCAGCTGGTCTGTTATACAGATGGGAACACTGAGGCTGGTGCTAGAGACAGGATGGTGGAGGCCCCCATCCTGGGCTCAGCTCCCCCGTAAACATCACCTTGTCCTTTTGCAGGTGGGGAACACAGCCCTGATTGTGTTTGTGAGCTATTTTGGCAGCCGGGTACACCGGCCCCGGATGATCGGCTGTGGGGCTGTCCTGGTGGCCCTGGCAGGCCTGCTCATGACCCTCCCACACTTCATCTCGGAGCCATACCACTACGACCACATCAGGTCTGGTAAGAGCAAGAGAGGCTGGGGGCAGGGGGGCTGACCACGAGGAGCTGCGTCAGCGTGCACAGGACCACCACAGGCCTTTAGGCAGGATGCGTCTCAGCCTCCAACCCCTGTTGGTCCTCCCCACCCCACCCCACAGTCCCCCGGCTCCAGACCAGTGGTCTCTCTTGGGAGAGAGGTAGCATTCTAGGAAGCCAAGTAGAGTGAGCCCGTGTGTGTCACTGTGGTTTTTTTTTACAGTGGGGCTGCATTTGTAAACAGCCTACTTCAGGGCCCAGTGTGTAGTAGACTTTCAGGAAGAGCCCGTGGCATAGTAACAACGCATCACATGCTACTTACTGTGTGCTGGCTGCTGTGCTAAGCCCGTCATGTGTACACAAGCATTTATTCCTCACTAAAAGGCCAAGGCAACAATGAAAGAATGAATAGCTGAATGAGTGAACAAATGAAAATGAGAGAAAACCAGATAGGAGTAGTGAAGCTCTGTTTGGCCAGTGGGATGTTGCCAAGCACCTACTGATGGATGCCTGTCCTTTGGAGATGACTCAAGAAGCCTGAACATTTGCTCATTCTTTTCCTCTCCTACCCACCACCCACCCTACCACCTACCCTCCCACCCACTCAATTACCCATCCATCCATCCATCTATCCATCCATTTGATGGCCCACCCAACAAACCCTTCATGCTGCCTAACCTGCCTGACCTGCCCAAGGGACTCAGTCCTTGCCTTTAAGGAGCTTCCGATCTGGGAGAGGAGACAGAGACAAATGCAAAAACTCCAGTGTATCAATCTTGTGAGGAGGGAAGGAGCTGAAGGGAGAGCCTGTGCCCCAGCCTGGCATCATGGAAGGCTTCCCAGGGAAGGAGGGCTGTCAGAAAGCATCTCCCCTCCCTGGCCCTTCCATCAGCCCACCCTCTGGAGTCCCACTGTGCTAGGACCAGTGGGCGGAAAGATGAAGCAGATCTGACCCAGTGGAGCTGAGCATAGGCCATTGCGCTGCAAGAGATAGAACCTTACCCCTTAGGAGATGGCCAGAGGAGCCCCAAATAGGGACAGGACACTCGCAGCTGCAGGGAGCTGAGGAAGTAGAGGAGGTGCACTTGCACAGCAGCAGGGAGAGAAGGTGGGTGTGGCAGGTGAGGGGCGGGGCCAGGCAGGGCCAGGAAGTGGGAAAGTACAGAGTGTGCCTGAAGATCGCAGAGTGGGCACCTAGGCCCCAGTGGCGAGTGGTCAAGAGGACTGCTTGGAATGCCACACACAATACTTCACATTTCTTTGTCGAGAAGTGTCACCTGAGTAAAGCTTTTTCTATTCTGGGTCACATGTTTTCTTCATCTTTCCTGACACCCCTCTGCCTATGAAACCCCGAGCAAAGCCCCTCTCTTGTCTGAGCCTCGGTCTTCAGCTATCAGTCCACAGAGTGGGCAAGATTTGGTGGTCCCCAAGCCCTGGCTCACTCAGGTGTTCCCAGCTGTTTCATCCATTCATTCTCCGTCCAATATTCATGGAGCTTTGCTATGTGCCAGGCCCTCAGAAAAGCCCCTGTGATGGGCTTCTGAAGACAGACACTATCTCTGATAAGCGTCCTAGCCACACCACGCAGGCACTGTGCAGGAGCCCCACTCAGCACTCATGGTCGCCACTTACCGCTCACACCCACGAGGCAGGGATTTTCATTATTTCCTCCTAAGTATGGAAGCTGAGGCTCAGAGAGGAGAGGGACCTCCCCAAGGCCTGCAACTTGTAGGCCCTACAATACATCAGGTGGCCTAACCCTTTACTTCTGTGTTCCTTATCTCTAGAGAACTACCACTCTAGATTTGTTTGAGAGATGAGCAAATTGAGGCCCCAAGGGGGTAAGGACCTCAGTCAGGGTCACACAGTGAGGCCCAGGCAGCACTGGCGGAAGGCTCCACTCCAGGTCCTTGACCTCAGTTCACACAGCACTTTCTAGTCCAAGGGAGTGGCTCTTGACTGTGTTGAAACAGCTCAGAGTCCCAGCTCCCACGTAGGGAAGGCTGCAGAGAAGGCCACTTCCACACCCACCTGTGGGGTAATAAGAATGTAAGGAGCTCCTCCAGTTTGCTCACCAAATATTGGTGAGCTCCAGGGCACAAATGCCCAGTGCTAAATTAAGAACTTCCTTACTGTGCTCTGCTTCTGTGTCCTGAGTTGACACCGAACTCTCCCCAAATAAATGCCAAGGGCACCAGGGCCCACCACGACCCGGTCCAGCCTCTCTCCCCTCCCAGCCCTGCCTTCAGCCCTGGACTTGCTCCTTGCCCTTTGTGGTCCAGCCTTTCTGAACTTTTCAACCCACCAACACTATGCCCTTTCAAGACCTGGCTTTTGCCCATACCTCTCCTCAGAACAGCACTTCCCCTTCCTGGGAAATCAAGTTTGTACTTGTAAACCTAGTTAAACTCTACCTCCTTTGGCCTCTACCCCACCCCACCCCACCCAAGAGCCTCTGTTTGCCATGGCACTTTCAAATGCCTCAGCTCAGAGGTGGCACAGGGCAGTTTGTGGGCATGAAGTCTGGGGCCAACTGCATAGCCTGGTGGTTGGTTAAGGTCCCACGTAGCAGACCACGCAGTGCAAATCAAGGCCCCAGTGGTTTCAGAAACATGCCTGAGGCGTGTGTGTGTGCATGCCCCAAATCTCAACAAGATGGAGAAATGAAGAAGGGATCGCAGCATGACCACGGCCCATTGCGGGTGTGTTCTCTCTCTCTCCCTCTCTCCCTTTCTCTCTGACTCTCTGGTGAGCACATGTGCCCTCTGACAATTAAAACAACAACAACAAAACAAGAGCATGGACTCAGAAGCCAGGTTGCCTGGATTCTACTCCGGCCCTTTGTGGCTTGCTGTCTAAACATCAGTCTCCCCATCTGTGAAATGGGGATAAGGAGAGCAACTGTTTCCTAGGTTTGTGGTGGAGACCAACTGATTTATACGCACAGTGCTTAGAGAGCACCTTGCATCGGGTGAGTGCTACGTAAGTCCGAGCTGCTGTCACATACATCTTATTGTCATCGCAGAGGATGGGCCGCAGGACTCCAAGGCTTCCCTGTGCCTGCCCACCACCTCGGTTCCAGCCTTAGCGCCGTCCAATGGCAGCTGCCAGAGCCACGCAGAGACCCACCACCTGACCGTGGTGGGGATCATGTTCGCGGCGCAGACCCTGCTGGGCGTGGGCAGTGTGCCCATCCAGCCCTTCGGCATCTCCTACATCGACGACTTTTCCCATAGCAACAACTCGCCTCTCTACCTTGGTGAGGACTCCTTCCATCCCTGGGACTGTGAGGGCCAGACCAGGCTCAGATGTGGGGAGGAGAGGCCCAGGGTCCCTAACCTCTGCCTGCTGGAGTGTTCCCCATCCCTGGCCAGGACAGACAAGCTGTTCATGCAGTCTGGGCAGGCACTAGCCATGAGGGAACTGAGCCCTAACCTCGACTTTGCATTGCAGGGATCCTGTTTGCAGTGACCATGATGGGGCCAGGACTGGCCTACGGCCTGGGGGGCCTCATGCTACGCCTTTATGTGGACATTGACCGGATGCCAGAAGGTGAGCCCAGGGGCACTCAGGTGCTAGCTCAATGATCACTGGTCCCACGAGGGACACCGAGCCAGGGTGCCTAGGCTCAAATCTCAGGCGCCCTGTGGGATCACCTCCGCCCTGCCCACCTCCCCAGGATGCAGTGAGAATCCAGAGAGGTGAACTATAAAGTGCCACCAATGAGGAGTCAGGGCCGCTGCTGCGATTATTACGAGCCTTCACCTTGCTTGCTTCCTGGGCTCCCCCAGACCCTCAGCCCGGGCTTCTCGTGCTGTGGAGCAGAGATCACTTTCAGCCTGGCCGGACATCCTGCCTTTGGAAGGAAACAGACTCAGATAAAATAGAGAGGACAACGGCACCCTGTGGCAGGACAGTGGCCTCTCTCAGGGAGGATGTTATAGGGTGACCTCAAGGAGCCTCCCAGCTCTGAGTACCTTAGAGGCTGGGGAATTGTTAGGGTACTGTTTGGAAAACATGACCCTGGTCCACTCAGAACCTTAAGACCAGGGGAAATAAGAGTGAGGAGGGAATCAAGGCCAGTCAGTACTGAGAGACCCAGGAGTGGACCTGAGGTTTGGTCTGGAGGTAGCCGGGAAAACTGTCAGGGTTTCAGAGACTGCTGCCCTGGGAGTGGAAGGGGTTCCTGTAAGAACACGCACGCCAAGCTGTGAGGCGCCTAGGCATGCCTAACGCCTCCTGCCACTCGGAAGTCCTGCCCCCACCTAGAGACTTTCCAGCAGACCCAGGAGCTTCAGGTGACCCTAGGTGGCTGGATGGACAAGCAGATACTACATCTTGTGCACCAGCCTTTGTCCACAGGTGCCTGTGGCCAGGACAGGTCTGGACAGCTCCAGAGTCAGCTCCCAGGGACAGTCCCTCTGCCTTCCCTCCTACTAGGAAGCTGGGCTCCAAGCAACCCTCTGTTCTCTGGAAGAAAGGTCCTGAGAGCCAGGGCTTCCCTCAACTTCCAAGAAACACCCCAGCTTGGGGGAAAGATGTGTTTTGGTCTGTTGACATCACCCTGGCAGATGAGGCGTCTCCCCCACACAGCTGTGGCATTTCTATGGGCCAGGGAGACACTTCCAGAGGCCCTTCTTTGAGGAGGATTTTTGTAGAGTGGGTGGATCATGCCTGCTGCAGGCGCAGGTGGATGGAGGAGATGCGTGAGTGAGCTTTCACCAGCCTGGCTCGGAGGCAGGGGAGCTAGAATGAGGAGGTACTCAAGGCCAGTCGGTGCCAAGCAAACTCCTCCCCGACTTTACAGCTCCACTGGCTGAGCACCGGCTATGCACCCTGGCCCCTGCCCAGGAGCTCAGGATCAGCATTTGGGGAACCAGCTCCACAACCGGCCTTGGTCTTAGCTTGCCCTCACATTTCTATAAAGTACTTACGGATGTGTGCGGATTAGGAGGACCACCCAGCTCCACCTTGGGATTAAGAGGTTGATAGATGGTCTGTGCCCTCCAGCCAGGAGGTACATGTGGGGTACTCTAGTTCCTGATTAAATCCAGTGGGGGCTCCAAATCCCCTGGGGAACTCGGTAAGGCACAGATCCCTTAGCTACCTGCCCACCAACCCTGTGATCTTTCTAAGTGAGTCTTCAGGAGTGCCAGGTTTTTGAAAGCACCCCTGGTGATTTTAATCCTCCTGCTGGTCTGAGAACCACACAGTAGTCCTAACTGTTAATTTAACAATGATCATCATCGCCATAATAGCAATCATAATGTAATAAGAAGATGAAGAAGAAGGAGAAAAAGAAAATGCCTATATGGCACATACCCTTCTAAGTACCTGGCGTGCATTTGTTTCTATTTTTTAAAAAAATACAGAAAGACAGAGAAAAGGAGAAAGCCTCCTCACTCCCGCCCCATGGAGTCTGATCAAGCCACAATCCCTTCTTCATTTCTCCATTCCGTCAGGATTTTGAGCACACACATACACACCTGGGATGTTTTTCAAGACTGGCCAGGGTTCAAACTGTGGTTGACCAGGTTGGATTCAGCACCCCTAACCACTAGGCCCCAGGGCCAGCCCTATTTGTTTCTATAATTCTCACAACAACCTTCTAACATAGGTGCTGTTAGTGTCTGTATTCCATAGAGGGAAAAAACGAGGCATAAAGAGGTCAAGTAGGTCACCCAAGGCTGTAAGTTAGTGACGGAATTCAGACCCAGCAGTTCCCCTTCACAGCCCATGACTTTAACCACTACTTTAAATTGCTTTGTTGGTTGGAGCCAAGGCCCAGCAAGGTCAGGGACCTGCCCAAAGGTCAGACAGGACATAATTGGTAGAGCCAAGACCAGAGCTCAGGTCTCCTGACTCCCAGGCCCACTGCCTTATGTCTCAAAGGCCAGCCCCAAGGTGGTAGCTAACGTGACAATCCGCCCTGACCTTAATCTCACTGTGGTCTTCTCTTCCAGATGGCATCAGCCTGACCCCGAAGGACCCCCGTTGGGTGGGTGCCTGGTGGCTGGGCTTCCTCATCTCTGCCTGTGTGGTGGCCCTGGCTGCCATCCCCTACTTCTTCTTCCCCAGGGAGATGCCCAAAGAGAAGCATGAGCTTCGCTTTCGGCAAAAGGCCTTGGCAGTCACAGCCTCAGCTACCAGCAAGGTACGCCCTCCCCACATCCCCGGCCCTGGTCTAGGCTCCAGCCCCCACCCACTCGTCCTCCTGCAACAGGAAATGCCCTCCATCCTTGCTGCCTGGGCTCTGTTGCAGTCTCCCAACAGCCCTGCAGGGTGAATATCAGCTGTCTCACCCACGGTTGAGATCAAGGGCCACAGGCGGAAGTGACATGCCCAAGATCACAACGGCAGCAACAGTGGGTGGTGATCAAAACCCCTGCCGTTCTGAGTCCCTCAGGCTAACCACTAATCTGCTGTTTCGGTGCCTGATGGTTTGTGCAAATTGTGAACATGCTACGGGAATGTTGAGAGCTGGAGCGCTGGGGGTGGGGGTGGGCAGTCTGGGACAACTTCTCAGAAGAGGATGGATTTGAGCTATACTTTAAAGGATGTAAGGAAGCCCAGAGGGAGAGAGACAAGCATGCTAGGTACAAAAACAGCCTGATCTAAAGGTTTGGCTACAGAAATGAACCCGGCCCTTTTGGAGACAGTGAAAGGGATAAGCGTACACCGAGTGCCACCTCTGGGCCAGATCCCAGGCTGGACACAAGAGATCGGTACCTGGTCTCTCCCTTACAGTGAACACAACCTAGTGAGGACGAAGATGCGCAGACAAGTAACAATAACTAGTACGATGCTCTAGGGCTGTTGACGGGCTCCCCTCCTCAGCTCTCGGGGCTGGTGGGCCTCTCCTAAGAAGAGGACACTGAGATCCAGCCTGGTGAAGGGGTTCACCCAAGGTCATAAAGTTGGTGAGAAAAGGCAGACCCTGTGACACTTTGGGCAGGACAGGTGATTCTGCATCAGGGGCCTTCCAAGTTTTTCAGGGACCCACGAAATCATGAAGTCTAAAAAACAGTAAATTGACTCCAAAATACTTTTTTAAATGACAAAAAAATAGAATTAAAAAAAAAGTTTAATGAATGTATCATTAATGTCAACTTCATTGCTTTTTTCTTACACACTTTATTACAGTCTGAAAATCTGTGTTTTGAGTCCTCTTTTCCCCAATACAGGCAGTTTTACTGAGAAATCACAGGTGTTTATAAATTAAATTGCTAAACATTTTAGTCTATTTTTTCCCTCAAATAACAGAAACACTTGTGTCTGGATGATTTAGAAAGAATCGAAGTGTATTTAAATCACAGTGTTGGAGGTCTAAGTTCAAAGAGCCTCATGTGGTGAGGGTCTTCTTGTTGGTGGGGCTCTCTGCAGACTCCCGAGGTGGTGCAGGGCATCACCCAGCAAGGACATGCTCATATCATTCTGTCTCCTTATAAACCCACCCGATGCGCTACCTCGTTCTAACCTTTCAGAAGCCCCATCTTTCAACACCATAGTCAGATTAAGTTTTCACCTTCTTAATCCCATCACAAGAAAATTTCAACATGCAAATTTGGGGGGAACACATTCTATCCATACCACTGAGTAATTCTCTTTTTCTGTAGAGGTTTTTGCTATAGGGCACGTGCGTTCACCAGAAAAACAGAGAGAGACAGACAGAAAGCGAGAAATCACCCCCCAGGAGGATGGCCACGCTGCAATCTCTTCTCCTCCATTCTCCTCTCAGGATCATGGGCATGCACACACACACGCTCAGTGTGTGAGTTCTAACCATTGGGTCCAGGACTTGAACCGTGGTCGACCACATGGGAGTCCAGCGATGTAGCCATTATACCATCTGCTGATCCCACCACTAAGTAATTCTTATCTTAAAGGGACGATTTATAAATACTGTGCAGCAAGAAGAATTCCATTTAATAAGGCAAATTAATCACTCACTTATGCTATAATGTGGGAGAGAGCTTTCTTCTTAGAACAGGAAGGTTTGGGCTGGGGGGGGTGGGACTGGAAATGTCTCTGCCTATATGAGCTAGGACCTAAACCCAGACTCAGCTGCCCTCTAGGCCCTCACGCCCACCCCCCTACATGCTTGTCCCCCAGCTGCAGCAAAGGGTGCATCCATGGGAGGACAGTAGAGAAACGATGTGGAGCAGCCAGCAGGGGCCAGAACAGGAAAGGCCTGCCATGGCTGCCAGCTTCCAGACTGATGGGTAGCCCGGGAAAGAGGGTCAACAGGGGGCTCCATGGCTCCATCGCTGAGTGCTGGACAAGGACTGTGTGCAGAGAGGATGAGGGCAAGAAGCCTGGTAGGGCAGCTGTGATGGTGGCCAGGCAGGCAGCAGTGCCCTGGGGGGTGAGGGGCAGGAGATGAACCTGGGCACTGCAGACAGGTGCAGTCTCATGGCATGGCCCGGAGATGAGGAAGGATTAGGCTGATGCTGAGATTTTGGTACAACTGGCACGGAGGCAGGGGGAGCAGACGCTGGAAAGGGCCCCTTTTCAGGGGAAGAAGACAGCTTGGTACCACAGATGGTCTTTCCCCGTTCTGCTTAGTTCAGGTCAAAATGTGGATAAGAGGGAACCAGCAGTTAGCGTAATGGCTAGGTCGCTGGACTCCCACGTAGTCGCCCGCGGTTCGTGTCCTGGACCCGGTGGCTTAAAGCTCACGCCGGGCGCGTGTGCGGGCATGCCCAAGATCCCGAGAGGAGAATGGAGGAGAAGGGATTGTGGCGTGACCATCCCCCCTGGGGGGGGATTTCTCGCTTTCTGTCTCTAGGTCTCTCTCTGTCTGGCGAGCGCACGCGCCCTACAGTGACAATCTCTCCAAAAAAGAAAATGTGGATAAGAGGGAACCAGCAGTTAGCGTAATGGCTAGGTCGCTGGACTCCCACGTAGTCGCCCGCGGTTCGTGTCCTGGACCCGGTGGCTTAAAGCTCACGCCGGGCGCGTGTGCGGGCATGCCCAAGATCCCGAGAGGAGAATGGAGGAGAAGGGATTGTGGCGTGACCATCCCCCCTGGGGGGGGATTTCTCGCTTTCTGTCTCTAGGTCTCTCTCTGTCTGGCGAGCGCACGCGCCCTACAGTGACAATCTCTCCAAAAAAAAAAATGTGGATAAGATGCAATTCCTGGAATTTGGGGCAGAGTTCTCGGACAGTGGTTGGAGGGGGTGATCATAGAGGAAGAAGAGAGCCCGGTTAACTAATAGAGGTAATCTCCAAGTTGCGTTCTAAACGTGAACAGAGATGAACAGCAGTTGGACAATGGGGTAAAACAGGTGGAAGAAGCCAGGTTTGGGAGGGGAGACTGTGCAGGGCTGGGTCACACGGTGCATGACCTTCCCAGTAAGTCACTTCCATACTCTGCTGCCAGTTAGACGCCGAGGTTTCAGAGTTTGCAGCAATAGTCCATGAAACTCAGGTTCTGCGAACACACGATTCCTTGAGTCGAAGCTGCTGTGATTCAGAGGTTGGGATGTTAAGAGCTGTGTCTCTGTGATGCCTTGAAACCCCAACTCCCCAGCTGTGAACCTGTCTGGCTGTCTAGATTCATTCCGTCAGCACATTGGGGATGAGAACGGGGAGGGAAGGGGGTGAGAGGTTCTTAAAAAAGAACTGAAGGCTAAGAACATGATGATCTGCTCCCAGCAGCTCTCAAGCAATAAATATTGATGTGGGAGGAATTGTTCCTCCACCTCCTTCAGGCTGCCTTGACTGAGTGCTTGTAGTGATGCTGGCTGGCCTGGCCCATGAGGGCCGCTGGGGTGGGGGGTGGGCCGGGAGGAAAGGCCCAAGCAGGCCAACATGGCTGCCAGAAAGCCTAGGTCTCCAACATGGACATGTGTCTTGTACAAGAGGAGAGAATGGGCATGAGGAGGAAGTGACAGGGGTGTTACTTCTGAAATCTCTTCAAGTATCCCCTCCCAAACTTGGGGCTCGGGTGCTCAGTAAGTTGGTGTGCTTGTTCTCAGAATCTTTCTCTGATCGGGCCAGCCCGTAAGGGGAAAATAATAGAAAAACTGCCTTTTTTCCTAATATTCGTTTGTGGTTTTCTTTCTTTTTAAAACATTTTTAATTAATTAATTAAGTTTTTTAGAGAGGTTTTTTTTTGTTTGTTTTTTGGTTTTTTTGCTATAGGGTACATGCACTCACTGGAGAGACAGAGAGAGACAGAGAGACAGAAAGCAAGAAATTATCCACCAGGGGAGATGGCCACGCCACAATCCCTTCTCCTCCATTTTCTTCTCAGGATCTTGGGCACACATGCACACACGCCCAGCATGAGTTTAAGCCACTGGGCCCAGGACTCAAACTATAGTGGGCCATATGGGAGTTCAGCACCTTAACCACTATGCCACTTGCTGGCCCCAAAAATTTTTATTTTAATTGACAAGTAAAAAGAATATAATTATTGTATACCTCATGATTGTTTTATAATTGCCAGAGAGCATATGTGCTTGAGAGAGAGAGGGAGAGAGAGAGAGGGAAAGCGGGAGAAAGCACGCCCTAACGGGGTGTGGTCAGGCCACTACCCCTTCTCCTCCATTTCTTCATCCTTTTATAAGATTTGGGGCACATACACACACCTGATGGGTTTTTCAAACTGTTGGAGTTGAGACTCAAACCATGGTTGGGACCAGCAGTTAGCATAATGGCTATGTCGCTGGACTCCCACGTAGTTGACCGCGGTTCGCGTCCCGGACCCAGTGGCTTAAAACTCATGCCGGGCGCATGTGCATGCGTGCCCAAGATCCTGAGAGGAGAATGGAGGAGAAGGGATTGTGACGTGGCCATCCCCCCTGGGGGGAGATTTCTCACTTTCTGTCTCTCTGTCTCTCTCTGTCTGTCTGGCGTTTGCATGCGTCCTATAGCGAAAAATCTCTCAAAACAAAAACAAAAACAAAAACCATGGTCGACCATATGGGATCTGGCTCTTAACCATTAGACTACAGCTACTACTATCATGATGTTTTGATATAGGTATATGTTGTGGAATGGCTAAATCAAGCTATTTAACATAAGCATTGCTCGTGTACATATATTTTTTCAGTGAGGACACTTAAAATGTACTCTCTTAGCAGTTTTCAAGTATGTAACATATTGTTGGTAACCGCAGTGACCATAGAGCTCTTGAACTTATTCTTC